TCAAGAAAAAAATACTAGCAAACCAAATCCAGCAACATATACAAGGGATTATTCACTGGGCCCAAGTGGGGTTTATTCTGGGATGCACATTTCATTTAATATTCAAAAACTGCTTTGTGTGATGTATTCTGTCAATAGAAAGCAGGACGAAAAGCACATGATGATAGTTAAAACATCAAGTCAAAATGGAGCAGGTCGAAAATAAGACCTAAAAGACTATACAACTCTTAGAAAAAAATATAGAAGTAACCTGGCATCATCTCGGTTCAGGCAGACTCTTTGCTCACAAGACAAAGCAAAAGCAAACAAAAGAAACAAACACATAAATGGAAGTGCCTCACAATTACAACACATTTGTGCTTCAAAAGGAACCGTCAGAAAAGTGGGGGAAAGCACAAAACGGAAACACATATTTGCAAATCCTGTATCTGATAAGAAACATGTATCTAAAATGTTATTTTTTAAAAAAATAACCTTTAACAACTCAATAAAAGCTAAGTAAAAAGTGGGCAAAGGATCTGAATAGACATTTCTCCAAGGAAGATACATGGCCCGTGAGCACACGGAAAGATGTTCAACGTCATTAGCCTTTGGGGAAATGCACAAATATGACGCCACTACGTCAAAAAGACATGAACGAGCATGTTGGCTAGGATGTGGAGAGAGTAGAACCTTTATACTGGTACGAATGCAGCCACTTTCGAAAAGAAATTGGAAGTTACTCAAATGGTTAAACAGAGTTATCCTGTGGCACAGCTATTCTACCCCTAGGCATATACACAGGAGAGACGCAGACATATAGTCAGGCAAAAACTTGTACATGAATATCCAAGGCACCGTGATGCATAATATCCAAAAAAGTGGGGACAACCAAAATGCCCATCGAAAGATGGATGGATACACCAAACGCATCATATCCATACAATGGATTATTCTTTGGCCATCCAAACATAACAAAGTCCAAAGTTTACAGATGCATGGATGAACGTTGAAAACCTTCTGCTTGGTGAAAGGAGTCAGACGCGGAGACCACACAGTGTGTGATTCCATTTATATGAAAATGTCCGGGAAAGGCAAAGGCATAGAGATAGAATATTAGGGGTGGCCTGAGTCTTTGGGGGTTGGGGGGGTAGGTGCTGGGTTTGGTTTTGGAGGGACGATAATGTTCAAAACTTAGGTGGGGTTGGTGGTGGTGCCACTCTGTGAATATACAAAAGGCCACTGAATTGTATACTTTGAAGGTGCATGTGGTGTATAGTGTTTTAAAGAAAAGATACCGATGAGAAGGAACAAGTGTAGGCAAGCCCAGCAGGTCATTTACAAGAAGATTGAGAAAATGAAGAGGTGTGAAAAGCTGTGAGAAGTATTTGGAGGGCCATAGGAAATACTTGTGACATCTGAGTGCCCCTCCAGAGAACAGTTTTGATGAAATACGATTAAAAAGGAGGAAATGGGTTAACGACAAGATAGGGGGATGAAACAGACACAGTAGAACTTAAAAAATCAAGAGTGTGGAAAAATGAGAAGTAGGAGTGTTAAAGTAGGTACCATTCGCCCAGGATGCTTTTTTGGAAAGATGGGACATCCACGCATGCTTTTCATGAAGAAGTACCGTAGAAAAGCATGAGTGGTATTTCTAAAGGGTGTCAGTTGATGCTTAGGAGGGAGACAGAGAGAACAATGACGGGGAAAGGTATTCAGACGTCCAGAAACGCATGGCAGATCTCTAAGAAAAAAGAGCAGTGGGGTCATCTAAACCGTCATCAGGATATTTTAGTAAAGAGGCAGGGGGTCACTTTGAATGACAAATCATTTCTCAGTCCCAACTGGAAATATTTCCTTATTGCAAAACTGTTCTCTTGATTCTGGTACAAGTCTTAGTTACATTGGGTAGAACCGATGCTCTTTCTCTGGGAGATCAGGTCATACATACGTCTATACTAAAATGTGTATCTTTATAATGCATTTATGCTACCCACCTGTTTATGACTGTACCCATTTCACAGGACACAGCCTTCCCTCCGTAACATCTGAACCCATAATAAAAGCCGTCGTACTGAATGCAATGAAAGTCAGGGCATATAATCTTGAATCATTAACAGGATCGCCAGAGCCTTGTATTTGATTTACCTGCATAAAGACTACCTCACGCACATCCAATGTCTGTAACACCAAAGGATGGTTGCACGGGGCGTTCTACAATATTTCTGATTTTTCATTCAAAAAAGCTGTTATTTTTTCAAATAAAGGATGCACTACTTTAAGACCCAACATACCCAATTAATAATGTTACAATGTACTTTTATCTGAGAAATACATTTATGTTCCTAAATGTGCAAGATAGCTGCCATACCCGAGTTACATTTCTTTCTTCCCAAGAAATTCACTTTGAATTTGCACCTTACAACCACCTGACCTCAAACAACTCAAGATGATCTACTGTTCATACAATGGCTGAGAAGAGAAATGAAGAAAACATGCAAAGGAAAGAACGTGGCTTGTGTTCGAATTAATAGTCTGGAGAGACTCTGTTCTGAATGCAAACATTCCCAGGACAGGACAGTTGTGAAGGTATATCCATGTGACTGGTAACTCAAGCTTGTATGATGCTCTGCAATCAGTTAACTGGAAATTATGTATTAACAGATTCTCCTATCAAGTGATTTCCAAAAATGGCGATGCCCATAAAAATAAAATGCCACCTTCCTTTAGGAAATTCTGAATCATTCATAAGGGATCAAGGAGATTCTCCACAGGATGACACAGGCTGGGCAATGATTTCGTGCACTTGAGATTAAAAGAAAAAAGTCTTGGGTTCTAACTTCTCCCCCACCACGACTTTCTTCATCCCAAAACACTGCTTCGTCTCCCTGGGGGTCTCCACCTGCCGCAGACAGGGACCCCTGTTGCCTCCGAGCAGGAGGGAGCCTCTTTGGGTCGTGATTTATGTCCACATTTCCATGAAGGCACCTTCCCCATTACAGAGTCTTTACCCCAATGCCTTGGTTTCCATGTTTGTTCCAGGGCTCCTCTAAAGTCCCAAAGACAGGACTTTAATCCTGAACGATGCCTCTTCTTTGCGGAATAAATCAAATCAATGCAGTGGGCGTTTTCGGCCACCAGGAGGCAGAAGACGAAAGTCCAGACCAATGGCCATCAAGGAGAGACCGGGACCAAGAACTTGTCCACTCCCAGAGTTCATGTTCCACACCAGCAACAACAAAGACTGGAGTATTAAATGCATAGAAACCTACTGATGAAGACGATGAAAAACAACATATTTTGCACAGAAACATTTCTTGTCTTTCTTTTTTGCAAGGCCCATGCTCTCTTGCACAATGTATGCATGTTATGACTGTTATCTGAAGAGTCTACCCCTCTGCCACCTCCCAGTCCATCTTAGAGACTAGTGCAGCAGGGAGATCCAGAGCCTGTTCTCAGGGGGGGTTGATCACCTCTGCTGCCCACCAGAGGATATTATGTTATGGGTTCCCAGGCTTTCCACCACCAACTTTTGATATCCTGGTTTTGGGTGCTCCTGCACAATTCCTCTTGCCTCTGGATCCCATTTCCTGCCATTTCTCCCATATTCCTTGACTTCTCTACTATTGTTTATTTTTCCTTAAATGCAATACTTCACCTCTCTGCTCTACCCATTGAACTTTTAACTGCATTTTAAATGCAACTCTTGGGCTGCCTGGGTGGCTCAGTCGGTTAAGCACCTGCCTTTGGCTCAGGTTATGATCTCAGGGTCCTGGGATCGAGCCTTGCATCATCAGTTTCCCTGCTCAGCGAGGAGTCTGCTTGTCCCTCTCCCTCTGCCCCTCCCCTCTGCTCATGCTCTCTCCATCTATGTCAAAATAAATAAATAAAATCTTTAAAATAAATAAATAGATAAAATAAATGCAACTCTTCCCATGGGAAATCAAATCAGGGCAAACCTGCAAGGAGAGGAAACATAATGGGAGTTAGGAGCGTGGTATCAAGACCTGCAGATCCTTGAAGGAGGAAATTATTTTTTTCCCCTTGTATATGCACTTACGAACTCTTGACTTGATAAATAAGATGGGTTCCATTTGTAATTTAAAACAAAATCCTTAATAAAACATAAAAACAATGAAAAGACAACAGCCTAAGAAAACGATAAAACACGGCAATTAGCAAAGAGCGAACATACTTAACTCCCAAAGAAAGAGGGACGGAGGTACGCTCTGTGTGGCACCTTGACAGTTTTCAACACAGGTGCATAAGGCATATTATAGGGACCCACCAAATTTTCATGGATGCAAAATGCTCATGCATGATGCACACAATATGCAATTCAGATCATAGCTCTTTACATAGGAACTTGTTGATCCTGTGCCCCAGTGATTCCCAGACTGCTTTTATGGAATCTGACATGGAATACCAACATACCAAACGCATAAGAGTGACACTTCTCTGGCTGATGTCAAAGAGCTGCCTCCAAATGCCACCCACCCACCCTCCATTTCAGATGGAAACCAAGACCCCACAGAGTAGACCAGAACCACGAAGGTGAACAGACCATTGCAGGACGCAAAGAGCTCTCGTCACATGAATTTTAAGTCCCCTGCTCTTTTCCCTCCGCAAGTAGACTACGTTTATTTCAAACCATCTCTGTGTTCTATTCAAAGTCATGACATCACTGCACCTAAGCGAATATATGCAATTACTGGCCTTAAACACAACTTCAGGACACCCCTACACAACCTTCCCTGAGACAAAAATTTCGGAATAGCTACCAGCACCTGAAAAACAAGCAGGTGTTTCTGGTACTTTTTTCTGAATCCTGGAAAAAGTCAGTTATATAAATCCATGGGCAACATTCCTGAAGACCATAAAATACCCATCAGGTGAGAAACCTGTTGAGGTCACCATCTGCCTCAGTGGTGTTGACTCCGTGATGGGCAATGCTCAGCAGACCAGGCAAAGAATGGACAACAGCCGCCTCACACACAACTGGCCCATAACGCATTAGATCAATGGCGCCAAAGAGCTTTGACGTGACCCATCAGTGCTATTGCCCGGTGGATACCACCATCGCTGAAGCACCCTAATAATGAATGAGCAAACAATAACCCACTGGGGGGCATCCCTATCACCTCCTAGCCCTTCTGTGTTTGAAAATAAAGTAAGCGAACCCCTGCAGGGAGGTTTGCGAGGATTGAGTGAACAGCTACCACAATCCAAGGCTGGCCACACTGCAGGCTCTCCATGAGTGTGCGGCTGATGCAGAGCAGTTGGACCGTTTTGAAGCAAAAATAACTTAAAGCATGCAGGAGGCATCACGTGGCAGGGTAACCAAAAAGGCAGTGAGTCCATGGGAGGTAAACGAAAATGAATATTTGGATGGAGGTGGAATTAACCAACTCAAGATGTAAAGGCAAAATGGGAGACAATGAGGGGAAGGAGAGGCAAGAACCACCCATAAATAAATTCCAGGCATTTCCATCAGAAAGCATGGGAGAGGAGATTTCTCTTTTATATCGGAGGTCTTTGGACACTTGTCATGAAAAAATAAATAAGAGGTAGATTTGATGGGACACAAGTGTTGGATAGATGTGCCTTCCCAACGACCAAGGTGTAGAGCAAAACAAAGAGGAAATAAGTTTATAAAAGAGCATCTTCTTTGAAAATAAATGGAACACCAGTTCGATCACTAGACTTAAGGTAGGCATAATTAACTTTCTTATACCTATGATGACACCTCCCAGTTTGCCTGGGACGATCCCAGTTTATTAACAGCATATTAACAACTCTCAACCATCCTGGACTAGCCCATATATGATAGGGTTGATTTCAAAAAGCAAGCGTGAAGATCCTCCCGTTTATAGGACAAGTGTCTTATAATAATTATTTTTTTTAACTAAGGCTCAGTTTAGAGGATGGTATTTGACAGATATTAGCCATTCCATATTTGGCCAGTTGCAACTGCTTCTGGGGATCAACAATGATCTCAATATGCTATCCAGCGATGTTAATAAGAATGGAAATTATAAAGTGATCGGGTATCCTGGATGCTGGTTGTGGGCTGTGAAACTTCCCACAATCACCTTGAAAGGCAGAGAATGCTACAACTTTCTACAGAGAATCTGATGAAATTCACTGCCTTTCTGGGCATCACAGCTCAGACACGGGGTGTGGGGAAGATGCTAGTTCACTTCCGCCTCGTTCTGAAATCTATGTTCACTCCATGCACCAGCCTCCTGCTTGGACCATAATTCCTCTTGTTAACCCTCTCTTTTGGGTGGGTAAACAGCGTTTATTACTCCATAAAAATAATGACATCCAGCAATATTTTTCCATTTCTCAGGCAGGAAAAGAGCATTTATGCACTAATGATGTTTTGAAGAAGAAACTCAATATTCCAACGTTTTGCTCAAAACATATCTACCCGTATCAAAAGCACTAATTAGAACGTTCATCACCACGCGGGCTGGGCCATTTTATTTGATCATCTTTTTAAATATCTGGATCCCCGTGGTTTAAAAATATTTCTCAAGACTCAAAATAGCGACTTCCTTGAAGCTAAAGTGCGGGCCGGGGACGGATTTCAAGAGGATCTGAGCACATGCAAGATCCGTGATGGAGATAAACTAAGTCACATTTGGAAATCTCTACCACCCGTGTATAATCAGCAAAGTTGGCACATTTCACCCCAGCAAATAAAAGGGGGTCTGTGGTGTTCTAAGCGCCTCCACAGTAGCTCATTCGCGGAATGTAAATAGACCGGCATAGAAATGCTAAACTGATTCTTTGATTTCTTGGTCACCAGCTACAGCTCTGTTATGTACCATGATTTCTTTTTTTTAACTCTCAGTTGCCAAAGGTAGACTTCAAATTTTTCAAAGAGAAAAATTCTAAAAGCAAACCTCTTTTCTTAAATTATATGTACATATAAATTTATATGCATCATCCCTACAGCATTTTCTTAAATAACATATATGTATATATATGCACATATATATGCGTATATATATATGTGTATATATGTGCACACATACTGTGTGTGTGTGCACCATCCTCACAGTGTTTTCCAGATCTGCACATCATTTCACGAACTGGCCAGATTGATAGGCGATCTCTATGTAAAGCTGCATAATACAGCTTGGCTTGACAGGGGGAAAATCAATTTGCTTTGAAATCTAACCTTTTAAGGAATGTCAACACATCATGCACGCAAGAGAACATTTTGTTACTCCACCAAAACAAGAACTTGCTCCATGTCCATGGCTTCATTCAGAAAACAGAGCCCAGAGCTCCTCCTCAGTGGGATGACGCCACGCGCAGCCCCACACACTGTCCTCTTTGAAAAGGCTCTGTGCAGTGCTCCAAAGCGTTGTTTCCTCTCTCCACCTCTTTGTTAGAATGGACCTTTTGTAAGAGATCAAGAAACACGATTTCCTGTTTCAAGCACTAGTGGCTAAAAGGATTAACCAGAAACTGCTGGGAAATGTAGGGACACGCACGCAATCAGTGCTACGTGAAATTAACTAAAATGATTCTACCAAGACCTGGCTCATGAGACCTATGAAAAAAGAAAAAGAAATAAAATCACAAAGTGAGTGGGCTCTTGACGCTAAAGCTTTTTACTTCCTTTAAAGCAAAAAAAAAAAAAAGAAAGAAGAAACAAATAAACAAACAACAGGGAATTTCGGAATTTCGAGGACTTTATCGATGCTCCAAAAGGCACAACTTTGCAAAACATCTGTGGGCGATTTGCATTTCTAAGTTAGAAATGCATTTCTACCAGACACCCCACTCCAGGGGTCTCTCACAGATGAATGTTTTCCCATGTAAATGAAAAAAAATTGCTCAAAATAAAATTAAAACATCAAGGCAAAAATAAAATATTCTTGCTAATATTTGCCTATTTGGAGAGAACATTCTCAGCTGTATTTATGTTTCATACAACTCCATTGTGCCCTTTATTTATCTTACTGTAACCACATTGCAATATACACATTTCACTCTGTAGAGTCACACTGTGAGAGACTCAATTTCCAGCACCATCTTAAAGCATTGCTGTCTTGAAAACGTTTTTACCTACGCCTAGGAATATCAGTCACAGAGTGTACAACAAGCAGACAAAACTCCAAAAGAAGGTAAATCTGAAAATATTTCCCCCTGCCAAATATATATTTTTTCTAAGTTCCCCACTGGGGAAAAAATGAAGGAAACATCAGAACAAATGGAGAGCCACGTTGGATTTCCATGAACTTAGCAAGCATCCTTTTATGGTAAATCGTGAACTGTTGCAAAAACTCAACCAAGAGCTGAGCTCCATTGTGTGCAAATACAATGGTCCTTGTGACCCCACAGCAGGGGCCCAACGAACACAGATTATCCGTTTAAGGAATTAGGTGAAAGATTTTCCAACACAGGAGAAACAAAGTAACATACCTACTTAACCACAGAAGAAAGCCAATGTCTATGGCTACCATCATCTGTTACCAAAGTATCACCCATCAGCAAAGGTGTTCACTCTACAGAGCTGTGTAGCCTCCCAGGATATTCTCACGCCCCCCCCCCCCAGCAAAAAAGAAGTTTCCTTTTACTTAGGCGACCTTGGAGTCTGCCTGTTGTTTGAAGAAGGGTGGGGGTTCCCTGGAACACAATCCAAGAATTAAGCAGTGCAAGCTAAGAAGGCAGACTGTGCTACAAATATCTCTTGCACCATCCAGGAAGCCCAGAGAAGTAGAACTTCCTATGCATTGGAGTAACACGGTTCAAACCCGTCAGTCCCCGCACAATGAAAAGCGTTTGTCACGGCATCTGGTGCAGCGTTGACATGAGGCAATGACTTACCTAGAATGCCCAGCCGGTAGTTAATGGTTATCACGATGACATTTCCGTAGCTTGCCAGAACGCTCCCGTCTATCATATTGCCAGTGCCCTCCATGTAAGACCCGCCGTGGATATAGACCATTACCGGCTTCTTACTGTTCTGATCATGGATGTCTGGAAAAAAAGTCAAGTAAGGAAACACAATAAAAAAATCACACTGATTAACAGAGGCTAAGGGCAAGGGACATGGATTACTTTTCCCTGTTTCGACTGGAATCAACCAGGTGTCTATTTTTGAGTTATATACACCTTGATAAGACTGCTTAAGAAAAGGGGTCCATGGGATGATATTTTCTAGTCCTACAAATGGTATTTTGAGAAGCATACAGACATTTGAAGTCATAGGAATGCATGTGTGCATTGCTGTATATATCTAAAACATTGAAATATAGAGAATTTAGATGAAGTACTTATTTCCTAAACAGGGCTCAAGTCCTAAGATCTGACTTATTGAAGAAGCACATAGCATGATGTTTTCAGCCTCTAGGTAAGTGTGAAATCAACTGCAAAATGATCATTGATCTTTGCTACTACTGCCCTCTTTATTCAAAGGTGAGCTTACAGATTCATTTTCAGCCTCACAATGAGCACACAAGACTAGCAGTGACTGTAAATGCTCAATATGGGACAGATGACGACAAAAACCAAAGAAGGGGTGAAAAATTATCAACAGAACAGAAATGGGTACCATCGAAAACAAAGCAAAACAAGATGCCCAAGCAAATGTCTTTGTTCTCATTTACTGGCTGTAGTCAGAGCTCGACACATTTAACTAACAAACACGAAAGACACATAATAAAAATGACACAAGACTCTGGCCTCAAGATGGAAATCGTGAAATGCTACATATTTTCACAGGGGCTATAAACTCCCATTGTGATGTGCAAACAATGGGTACCCTTAGTCATTCCTTTGTTGCTTTATGGAGCAGTGATGTAAAAACAATGTTTTGCAATGGTCTGTGAGCACAGAAATTCGGAGACCCTGTGTCCATTTGCAGAAACTGCTTTCTAAAAAGGTATTGATTACATAACCTGTTTAATCAGTCCTTACACTTCTATTGAATGTTTCAGAAGACTAAGCTCAATGATGATTATTTCTGAATCTCTCTCTATGTATATATATGGATATATCCACATATGTGTGTGCAAATAATTTAAATATCTGTATGTTATCAAAAGAAACCCAAATGTACCCATGTACATTTATCGTCACCTTTTTATCAAGCAAGTTTTTTTTTTTCCCCTCCTAATTCACCAAGACACTTTTGAAATATCAGAAAGGAATTTCAAGGAAATGAACCACTATCATTTAGATGGTGGCTGCTAACAAAATGAATTATGATCACAATGTCAAAACGAGTTCATTGGCTGCCTCACTAAGGCATGCAGAAGGCTCGAGAAACCCACTGGTCACAGTCGAGTACAAGAAAGAGTATCATGGCCCCATGGTTCTGCAGATAATGAATAGATAGCAGGACAGATCTTATTTTCTCAAATAAAATTCAAATATAGAGTAAAAGTCCTTTATTCATCATCTAAGCCTCATGCACTACGTGGGATTTTGAAAGACATAGTTGTCTAGAAAGGTGTGGTGTTTTGCATGATTTATTCTTCTCTTTCTCTCTCTGGATCCTGATTTAGTGGATTTGCCCTCATTTCTTTTCCCAGTACACGCTGTTGGCTACTGCACTGTGGAAAAGGAATAAGTAGAGATTTTGAGGGCTGTTTGAAGGGGTTTCCTTGGAGAAAATGTTAGGCTAACATCTCTGAGCTTTCCAAACCCACAGAACAAGGTTCTCATGATCTTGAGGAAGTAATAACAAGATGTCCATTTAATAGAAAGTAAAAAGAAAAAAGAAATCACAAGTTATTGCTATTCAGTGAAAATTAGGGGGCATTTTATGGTAAGAAAGTTGCATTTCGAGCATTGGGAAAACAGGTCCTAAGCATCAAACGGAAATGCACAAATAAGAGATACAGAACAAGAGGCAAATTATCTTTCTGGCTGGGCAACCGAACAAAGAAAAGTTTTGGGGGTTTAGTTTTAATACATTTTTTCTTATTTTTATGTGGTCTGATAGAATCTTTTTAAAAATTAAAAAGTTTTTTTTGTTTTAATACATTTTTTAATTTTGATAGGACTGCAGGTATTCCGGGGCCGTCTGCAAAGGACAGGTGGATGGGCGAGTCAGGTGCAGGATACGCTAGTCTTAAATCACAAAAGACCTCACAAAACAGACGTCAGAGGTAGGGACAGCCCCGTGAACACAGGGGAATGACAATAATAGTGAAACAATAACAGTGTGAAGAGAGGCAGCCATGAAAGCAACACGGGCCAAACTTCTTGGACCACAGTTGATTTAGGAAAGAGGCCAAAGCCAGCAATGCAAAGATGTAGAGGGGAAGGCCCCCAGAGGGACTTCTCACCGCCTGGCGGGGAGAAGTCACCGGACGCTTCCCTGCCTTACATCACCTGTCAGCCCCAAACCCAAAAGTTCTTCAAGGGCCTTCGTCCTCTGTGGTCAATAAACAGAGGTCCATGCATTTTGCTCCTTGGATGGGAGAAAGGTGATTCTCACCCGCCCTACGGGGCCTGCACGGCAACATACTTGGGCCGTGTGCTTTGTTTGAAAGGATCGATTCTCCTGAAGGCATCGGGATACCTTGTGTTCCTTCTCGCTCGGAGGCCACTATCTCCCATATTGTCAAGAACAGGAATTGGCTTCTGGTGTCTAATCTGTCCAGTAACTTGGGATCCTTCACGAAGCAACTTCCCATAGCAACCAAACATTTGGGGGGGGCGGTGTTTGGTGAAAAAAGTTTTCAAACTAGCCAGGGTGGGAAAAGGAAAAGGGATAGATCTACGGGGTTTCTGACCTTTTTGTTTTCGGACCTATGATATCCTTGCCCCCCACAACCCCCTTAAATGCTGCTAAAGAGCAGCCCTCAGAGAAATAACATCTCGTTAAAATACTTTTTCATGTATTTCACTGTGAACCAGAGAAGATTCTTTGAAACCTATTTTTAAATCTGTATATTTAAAAAAGAAAAAGAAAAAGAAACAAACAAAAGCAGAAATGCCAGACACCCAAAAAGTTGTACGAAGGTGTCTCTCAGAGTTTGGCAGCTCGTAGAAGGAATTAAGAAGACCAAAGCTCCAAAATACAATATAACTTACAAAATAACCTTTGGAAGGAAGAAAAGAACATATACATGCATGTTCTAAAATTTCATTTTCTCTTCTTATGACCAAGCCAAAAAAAGAAAAAAACAAAAAGGAAAAAAACAAAAAGAAAAAGATGCGCTTCCTTGTAAATAACTTTTTTTTTTTTTTTACTCACTTCATATTTAGAAACGTTTATACTTCTCACAGGTGGTTTGCATTCATGTACAGGGTCCTTGGGACTAAAAGGGACAGTGGTTTCCAAACAAGAAGGAAATAAAGAAGCACACGAAAGTGTACTCGTTTCAGAGAAGGGGAGGAAAAAGAGATTGAAATAAAAAAAAGAGAGAGAGATATAAAACCATGCATCAGGGTTGAGCTTTGAAAAAACAAAAAATACCTTCATCTTCACCACGGTCATTACTGCTTATATCATCTGCGTTTTTCTTTGTGTTGGCTCCTGGGGTCATATTGAGAAGGAAAATAAAGGGAAAAAAGAGAATTCAAAAACAACAGGTTTGCAAAAAAATCAGAAAAGAGAGAGATACTACCCAGTAAAAGAAAAAAAAAATGTCACACAAAAAGTTGAACGTTGTTACATTTGGATTTCAAAAAAATGAGATAGGGCAATGCAAAATGCATAAAAACATAAAGATGTCAAGAAGAACAAATTCAAAATGTTACTTGCAAAAAATATTCTCTATCCTGTGAAAATGCAGTTTCGGGGTTAAAATGATAACACTGCAAAAAAAAAAGAGCTAATGTGAGTTTGAAAAAAAGAAAATTAAATTATTAAAAAGGATCTCCCACATTCTTAAAAGAAATGCATATGAAGTATTCAATGTTCCTCTAATTTTAACATGTGATAATCTACATAAATTCATGAAATGTCACCAATACACTTTCGTTAGGACATTCCATAAGGTAAAAGAAAACACATTTATGTAATAAACACAGAAGAACTTTCAATAAGATACTTAAAACTGACATTCATTTCATGCAGAAGAACTTAAAACAGAACATTTCAAATACAGATCAGAAACGTCAGTCAATTTGCTAATTTAAATCATGACGGTCACCTCTCGTCAGTGGCTAGAGAACTATTTACCCAGTACTTGCTACTGTTTAGTATAAAAAGAAAACAGCAGCAACAACACAACTACCATTTTCAATAAGGTTTCCTTAAGACAAGAGAAAACATTATACATCATGTTCTCTGTGTTTGAAACACTTATTAAGTATTACTCTGGTGTCATTGCTCCTTGAATTTAAGATAAATAAATAAAACCACCTACCTTGATGACCTGTAAGATAAGCTACGTAAGAATCTCCATGGGAGGTGGGGGCATCCCTCAACTACACCAAAAAACACTCTCTTACACATTCTGTATATAGAATGCACCATTTTGGTTTTTCCTATTTTCCAGATACAACATGCTAAAACATTTCATATTGCTTGAATTGTTTGGTTAATTAGCTCAATTGTCTTCTTTTTATAGACAGACATGGCCCTGGGGGAATGCCTATCCCAGATCCAGTAACTTCAAAAGTGCCTGAATGACATTCTTTTAGAAGTTCTACTTAACTCAAAGGAACTCATCATGTTTCAAAACCAAGATTTGAAGTTGCTGTTTTTGTAGGTCAGTTACGGTTTACATATTGTCCATTTTGTGTGGTTCAACACTTGTTAGCAAGCAGACCTGGGTGGGTGGGTGGGAAATCTGATTTGCTGATTTTTGAGGCTTAACTATTCGCACTATAGAGAATTTCAAGCATCTAATATAAGGTCATTGAAGACAGCCAGGAAGAGGTGCCTGGGGCCCCTTGAAACTCCAGGCTACCAGTAATTCAACCTCATCTACCTAAAAGTAGAGTTGAGTCTTGTCAGAACCCACCTGTTCTCCTTACAACACATTCATTTCCAAACCCTTAGGAAGTATCATGACATTGATATGTCAATCTCTTATAGTCATTAGCTTGATATAAAAATCTATTTATATCCAACAACACCACTGCATTGAAATATCTAAAAGAAAAAACCATAAAAAAAAAAATCAAATGAGGTTGACTGTCTTCGGGGATGTTTTTGTCAGGGTTTATCAGTATAGAACCTATCTCAAAGCGAACTCATTGACTTGAATTTATGATGAAATTGTGTACAGGAGCCTAAAAGGATGCCTTTCCTAAAGTACATGACATGAACGATACACAAAACTGTTTTACAAATCAAGTCCTCTCATTTTTTGGAAAAAAAAAATTCCATTCATTCATGGAAGAAGATTTGATAAGCTTCTATAGAAACGGGTCACTTCTTTCATTTAAAAAGAAAAAAAAATGGCTGGAAAAAAATTAAGGTGTCGTCAAATCCATAGGAGTGAGAAGGTACTCCCGGATTCAGCAGATTCCTTCCAACAAAATGTGTTCCTTTTAAGTTTGACTCCCTCTTGTTCTAACGCAGCGTCCAGAACACACGCTCTCAACATGGAGAAGGCGTTCTTTAAGGAAGACCCCACACCTGCACTTTACCCTCCCCAGGAACGTGTTCTTATAATCCTGCCCCTTCCTGAATATTCTTGTTCGGAATCTCTCTTCTGTTCCTCGCTATGTGCTGTGTCCTTCGTAAGCCCAAAGTCCATTCTGCAAGCCAGGTGTCTGGGGTGTGAAACGCCAGAACCCTCTCCTGAGACCCACCTCTCCATGCCTTCAGGCTCACTGGGTCAGGGCGCAAAATGGGAGTGATCTGAAATACGTCTCGGGCTGGATGCTCTCTCTTCCCCAACAGAGAGAGCCAAGTTCTGAAGATTAGTAATGCTTTCACAATTTCCATAATGTAGTTCCATCGAGGATAAAGTAGCAAGCCGGGATAACCTCTGCCTCTTTGATTCCTTACCAAATTTCTCTGTTAGCCGAAGTGTGATTTTTAAGACCTTTACTGACATATGACTTACCATGAAATCAACTCATCAAAGCATAACATTCTCTGACTTTTTCACGGACTTGCGCAACCATCGGCATAATCCAACTAACTTTAGAACATTTCCATCAACCCCAAAAAGACTGTGTCCAACTGCAGGTTCCGTGTTCCTATCCTCAGTCTCGTTAATCTACTTTCTTTCTAGATTCGCCATTTTTGAGTGTTTTGTATGAAAGAATTCATATCCTCTGTTGTCTTTAGTGTCTGCTTTCTTTCACTTAGCGTATTGTTTCCAAAGTCCTGCATATGCTATAGCAGGGATCGGTTCTTCATTCTTCTGTATGGATGAATAATACCCCACTGTATGGACACACCAAGTTTTGTTGTTCCATCCATCAGTTGATGGGCATTTGGACTGTTTTCATTTGGCAGCTCTTTCATGAATAATGCTGCTATAAACACTTGGGGACAATGTTTTTGCTGGGATATTTGTTTCTCTGGCTCTTGGTTAGCTATCTAGGAATGGGATTGCTATTTTATAGGGCAAATTGGTATTTTAAGAAACTGCCAGACTGTGTTCCAAATCAGCTGCATCATGGGGCATTTCCATCAGCCTGTATAGGGGTTCCAGTTTCTACATCCTGTAGCCAAGCCTTGCATTATGTTCCAGTTTCTACATCCTGTATCGTTTTGGTGATAGCCATCCTAAAGGGTGTGAAATGGTGTCTCCTTGTGGTTTTAATCCACAGCTTCCCAATGACGTAGCGATGTCCAGCATCTTGTCACGTACCATCTTCTTTGGTGAGAGGTTTGCTCAAATATTTTGCCCATCTTTAAAACTGGGTTCTTTGTCCCTTATTATTGGAATGTAAGTGTTCTTTACATTTTTCAGATGCAGGTCTTTTCCCGGAAATATGATCTGCAGATCTTTTCTCCCAGTCTGGGTCTTCTCTTTTGGTTTTCCCAATGGCGCCTTTGGAAGTGCAAAAGTTTGTTTTTAATTTTGATGAGGTCGATTTTATCAATTTTCTTTCAACGCTTGTGCTTTTCATTTCACATCTAAGAAATCCTTGCCTAACCCAAGACCCTGAAGATTTTCTCTTATGCTCTTTCCTAAACGTTTAAGAGTTGTAGTTCTTACACCTTTTAAGTATTTGAGTTACTTCCAGTGTATGATATGAAGGTAGGGTTGAAATTCATTGTTTGCATCTGAATATCCCATTGTTTTAGCACCATTTACTGAAACACTAACTTCTCCCTCATTAAATTCTTGAGACACCATTGCTGAAAGCCAGTTGACTGTAAATGCCAGGACTGTATTTATTTCTGGACTCTTTAAATTATATTCCATCCTGCGTTCCTCTCCACAGGAGCCCCCAACTCTCCTGATGACTATAGCTCTAGAGTGTGCTTTAAAATGGGGAAGGAGAAGCTCTCCAACTTTCTCCTGCTTTTTCAAGATAGTTTGCTTATTCTAGATCTTCTGCCTTTCCACAAGAATTTTCAAATGAGCTTGTCAACTGAAGAAAAAAAAATCACCCAGAGATTTTGACAGAAAGTGTTTGCCCAACCGCAATTTTGGAATTAACTGTAGATAGCAAGAGTGTAACCCAGAAACATAATTAGGTATCACTTTTAATGTACTAGGTACACTTAATTTTTCACCCTTTTGTTCTTTTTCAATAAGCTGTTGCTGTATTTTCCCTTGCAAATACAGCTAATTAAATGACCTCAAAACCAACGGAGTTCTCTTAAATACCTAATTTCGTTAGAATCATGAACTGTGGGAAAAAAGGTTCTGCTGGAATTTATTCCAGAGTAAACCCGTCTTGTGCATGCCAAAAAAAAAGGCATTTCAAAACCCATACACACCATGAGTTTTTTTCCACCCTCTGCACATCTACACTTTCCCCCAAATGCCAGAAAAATATTCCTTTACATCTAATAATTAGCCTCTCTATCAAACCTCCATGGGGAAATAGCTCTAAATTTTAAAGAGAATATTTAAGCAACTTCAAACAAATACATAGCTGTTCCATTACTAAAATTTAAGTATGGTTTTATAAATAAAGTATCTCAACATCCCTGGTCCTGAAGGATGTCCATCATTTTTTTATACCTGTTCTTCTCATGTTCCCTTTTTGTGCTCTAACTCCATCATTTTCTAAAGTAAGACTATTTAAAGGAGTACTTTGTATCCTAAACGGAAGAGAAATACTTTGTAGAGAATTTATGAAATTTGGGGAGGAAGCCCACAGAGATAAAGGGCCCTCCTGATCACATCATATGAAGGGTGCATGCTTGTCACCATGACTCATTACTGCTGACGTTGGCCTTGACCACCTGGTTGAGGTATGTTTGCCAAATTTCTCCACTGCAAAATTACATGTTCTCTGCCCCTCTCCGTATCATACTGTTTGGAAGGAAGTCAATATGCACAGCCAAACCTCAGGAGTAGAGGTTGAAGGAGAGGATCTACATATACTGAGAATATGGCATGATACATGACAAGAGGGAATGAAATTTGTAGATGCAATTAAGAGTAA